GTTATTGTGCTGTTCACGAGATATTCATATTTTTAATATAGATTTATGATTAGAGATCATGGGTCGCAAATGTGTTGTTCCTGGCTGCAGTAACACGCAGAAATGACATGCAGAATGCCGGGTTCTTGGCATGGTTCTAACTTTATTGTGGGTTCTTTACCTACTGTAAACATGGCTAGTTTCAATGGCGATCCATTATTGAAAGACAACTATTTTCTGAATGAAAGCAAGTTTGGTATAAAACACTTGGCATATAATATATCTATATCGGTTTTTCATTTTGTGTGATATCTCTACATAATACATCTTTTGATGATAACTATATGCAGTGAATAAAATGTTATATTTATCCCAGGAGAAATTTGTGAACAATCATATTTCACAACATACTTTACAGTGCAATCAACATCTGAAGAAATTGTTATCAAAAATGAAATTTCTTCATTGCATTGTAAAGTTATGGATGCTTCGTCTCTTATTGAGGGTTATTTAAAATTATTTTACTCTGGTTTTAGTTTAATGGTTTATATATATATATATATATATATATATATATATATGTGTGTGTGTGTGTGTGTGTGTGTATGTGTGTGTGTATGAATTTTTTTAGTTTAGTTTAAATTTCAATGGATTCTGCTCTATTTCCTCATATACCTATAACCGTTCCTGCTCCTGCAGATGTTACAAATGTTTATGATATTCCTGATGTTCCTAATTTTCCTGCCAATATTCCTCACATTCCTATATGACTATCGGGTATATCAATTTTTTTTGGAAAGATAAATTTGTTGTGTTCGTTTTTTAATTCAATCATTTTACTAGATATTCAGCACCAAGGAGAAATTTCTTAAAATGTGTAAGGGTAAAGCACCGTAAGCATCTTACTCCACAAGCAAAGAAACTCCATGATGTTATTATGATAATGAAGAGAAGTGCAAAAAGAGTCATAAAAGATAACAAAACTGCCAGAGCAGAGCTGAAGGAAAAATGTAGCCGTAATATCATAAAAGATATGGAGAAAGTGGTAAACACAACACTGCTACTTTAATAAGGAATCAGTCGAAGGAGCCAAAAGGTAGAAGGTACAATCTTGATGAAAAGGCTCTTGGGATAGCATTGTATAAACAGAGCCCATCGTGCTATAAATATTGGAGAACCTTTTTGTCCCTACCTTCCAAAAGCACTGTTTCGAGGTCATTAGCAACAATTCCGATTAGCGCTGGCATTAATAAATCTTTTATGGAAATCTTAGGCATTTCTGTTCGCAAGATGGATGCTCATAATAGAAACTGTGTCCTCATGTTCGATGAAATTAGCATTTCTGCAGGGATTGACTATGATGAAAGTAAGGGCTGTATCACTGGCTTTGAGAAAGTTTTTGAGAGAAGGCTAAAGTATGCTGATCATGCTTTGGTATTCATGATTAAAGGCATTCGTGGCCATTTTAAAACATCTGTAGCATTTTACTTCGCTGAAAGCAGTGTTAAAAGTCCTGAACTGAAAGTCTGCATCAAGAATGTTATTTTGAACATGTAAGAAATTGGCCTCAACATTGTAGCTACGATGTGTGATCAACATGCCACAAACGTAGCTGCAATAAACATGTTGCTCGATGAGACAAGGGCACAGTTTTTTAGGGATGCTAAAGTTTGCAAGCTCCAAGGTTTTCTTATAGGCAATAAAGAAATTGTACCACTGTATGATCCTCCGCACATGCTTAAATTCTTAAGGAATCGCTTCTCGTTATACGATATTACATTTGTGCACAGAAAGCAATTGAAAAGAGCATCTTGGAGTCATATAATCAAATTATATGAAATTGATTCTGAATCACCTGACTTTCGAATGTGCTATAAGTTGCGTGAGCATAATGTTTATCCTGAAAAAAAATGCGAAAAATGAAAGTAAAAGATGCTGCGGTTGTATTTTCTTAAAGCGTATCATCTATGATGAACAGATATGCTACTAAGCAGTGTAAGTAAAAGAAAATATTTTATTTATTTATTTAATTATTCAGATGATAATTATCCTCAAAAAGGCGCTGAGACTGCTGATTTTCTAAATTTTGTAGACAAGCTGTTTGACAGCGTAATTGGGTCAGTTTCAAACTCTGCCAGAGATTATAAAGTTGTACGTGGTGCATTGACAGATAAGTCCAAACATTTATTATTTTGGAAAGAGGCTAAAAGCATCTTAAAAAGCATAAGCTTCTACAACAAAAACACTAGAGTAAAAACTTCGCCAACTATTCAAAATTGGATAAAGACGTTAGAGGGATTAGAATATATTTGGCAAAAAATTAAAAGTCCGGAAATTAAGTATTTATCTATTCGAAATTTTTATCAAGACCCTCTGGAAATTTTTTTTGGTAGTATCAGAAGCCACTAATAGAAAAAATTAGGTGTTAATAATAGAAATCCCACGTGCAGTGCATTTATTGGATCCTACAAAACCCTTGGTCTAAATTAATTTTTTAACATAATTTATTAACACGGTCTAAATTAATTTTTTTTTCAATGATGACAAAAAATAATCACAGCAATTGTGTTAGAACATGCCTGATTTTTTTTTTCAAATAAGCATATATGCTGAAACATATATATATATATATATATATATATATATATATATATATATATATAGACATAAAATCCTATGTCGAAACGTTTGGAAAAATTAAAGATTAACTTCTAAACCTTTGCCTTTTATTTGATGTATGCCCTTGAAGAACTTACTCATATATATATATATATATATATATATATATATATATATATATATATATTGATAGGTTATTTAAAATCGGGCAGTATATATATATATATATATATATATATATATATATATATATATATCCAGGACGAAAAAATCCAGGACTTATCTATTGATATATATATATATATATATATATATATATATATATTTATTTAGATTCACTTAATATATTTTTTACTGCTTGTGAATTTATTTTCAGCCTATTTGCAGCTTCGAGATATGCAGCATCATTATGTTTTCAATCATTCTTTTGAACCGCTTTTTCTAGGAAGTAGTCTTGTACTTTATATTGCATGAAATATTTGTTATTATATGTATTAATTTCATTTTAAATACACCAATGATTTTATTTTTATAACCTTTTATGTATAATATTTTATTATTAACTGTAGTTCACTAATATGTCATATTCCAGTTTTACTAAATTTCACTAACTTTTTTGTAGTAATAATTTAGAACTTGCTTGGTAGATTATGTGTAATTTATATTTAAAATGGTGGTGATTTTAATATTATTATTATTTATGCTTTGATTTTATTATCGTTATCTTTGTATTAATAAAACATATTAGTAATGTATTATAACAAAATATAATGCTATTGTAATGCAGAATTTAAGTTCAAATAAAGGTTTATTAAGATTCAATATTTTTTTATTTCAAATTTTGCGCCAATGATTTGAATGCATTATAAGCCTAGGGTTGCCGAACGATAAGTGATAGCACGCCATATCATCTGAGCGGAGGACCCTTTAAGTTTTCCTTCTGAACGTAAAAATCGGGCGAGAGAAACGTCTATATGAAAACACGGGGTATTCTAATATTGTCTAGGATTATAATAACCTTTTTTTTTAATTACTAACTTTATTACTTTTTTCATGGTTATATAGGTTAATGTCTTTTTCTTAGTTTTTACGTGTTTCATAGGTTAAAGTTATTTTCTTACTAATTATATTCAATCAATTTAACACTTTTTAGATCGCTTTCGAAGTAGGTATGCTTGCATTATTTTATTTTTAGACAAATATATAAGGTACGTTTTATACACTTAGGTTAGGTTTTATTTCAATTCCTAGCTTAGGTTACACTTAGGTTAGATTTCATTTCATTTCTAAACATTTCATATTAGTTACGTTACTTTTAATAGTTTTAATATTTCAGTTCATATTTCTTTCTTTACATAAGTTATCTTTTAACCCTCCGTCGGTCGGCGTGGTCTGGCCAGACTTTTTTCGACTTCAATTAAAAAAAAAAAAAATACTTCTAGTAATCCTATCGACTTGAAATTTCTTGACTTTTCCTAAAATTTCATTACCTGTCGATCAGTGAAAAAATCAGGACGAAAAAATGTACAGAAGGATAATTATAAGGATATAAACTTTTTTATACTTCGAACGGTCGGAAAGGTCTGTCTAGACCACCCATACATTTTCTATTCAAACTGAGTTTTATATATTCTCTGCTTTGTGTTGTAACATGAATGTTGGTATTCACACGCAAAAATGTTTGTTTTCGTACTTTTGTGTGTTGTTATTTCAGTTCTGTTATTTGTGCGTTGATGTTTCAGTTCATTGTGCACACTCATACATACTAAGTTATTTGTGAGGTCACAACCTATGCCTGTGTATACATAAAATAATAAAATAAAATAAACATTGTGTGACTATTTAGTGCTCATAGCAGGTTAGCAGAAGAGAAAATATTTTTATTTTGTATATTATTTTATTCATTTTACGTGCAAATTTGGTTAGCAGAAGAGAAAATATTTTTATTTTGTATATTATTTTATTTATTTTATTATTATTTGAACTAAATTTATTGAGAGTGCTCTTTATTCAAAATGAGTGAAGAAGATATTGAATATGTTTATAGTCTTCGACAACGACGCATAAGTGTTGATACAGATTTTCATGCGAGATTGGCCGCGGCTCTTGCTGGTGATATGCGCCGTGGTAGTACCGATGACATTATCGACGATGGTAATAATTTTGATGGAGATGATAATGAATGTAATTATAATTATTTGCCAGTTAAAGAAGAAGCTTCTGACATAGAAGACGAGCTGGTGATCGAGCCAAATGAATTTGAAAGCGATGTTGACAGTGATGAAGATGCGGATGAAAATGCACCAGAAAGTTCATTTACTGATTGTTATTATGGCCGTAATGGTACCAAATGGATGAAAAATTAGCCGTCGGCTGTAGGCCGTCTTCGGCATCACAATATTATGCGTTTTCGTCCAGGGCCGAAAGACCAAAGTGCTCTCCCATTGGATGTGTTCAAGAAATTCTTTTCACAAAACATTTCATTCATTATAATTACTGAAACGAATCGTAATGCAAAGGACGTGATAGCAAAATGGAATGCAGTTAATCCTACTAAACAGCCCAAAGTATGGGTTGATATGACAAGCACTGAATTGGACGCATTTATTGGTATTCTATTAGCTGCTGGTGTTACGCATAACAATATGATTGAAGCAGACAAATTATGGGGTCTACATCGACTACCAATATTTCGTGCTGCAATGCCATTTCAAAGATTTCGAGCAATAAAAAAATTTATTCGTTTCGATGATAGCAGTACGCGTGCATTTCGACAGCAAATTGATAAGGCTGCACCGATAACTGATATTTGGAATTTTCTTAATGAAAATTTAGCGAATAATCACTCTCCCAACGAATGTGTTACAGTCGATGAACAACTTTTCCCGTACAGAGGTCGAACAAAATTTACCCAATACATCCCTTCGAAACCTGCTAAATACGGTATAAAAGTTTGGTGGGCGTGCGACGCAAAAACTAAATATCCTTTACAAGGAATACTGTATAAAGGAAAAGAAGGTGAGATGCGAGATGAAAACCAGGGAGAGAAGGTGTTGTTGAAATTAGCCAGTCGGTATGCTAATACAGGCCGCACAATGATCGCTGATAACTTTTTTGCCACCCTAGAAGGAGTAAAAAAACTCCAAACCAATGGAATAGCGTTTGTTGGTACAATTCGTGCAAACAAGCGCTGTGTTCCCAATGAAATGCGGAAAAATTCAAAACGTCCAGAGCTCTCTACACTTTTTGGATTCAACGAAAACATAGTTTCAATTTGTAGCTATGTACCGAAGAAAAATAAGACAGTGAATCTTCTATCAACTGTTCACTACACGAAAGCTTGTCAAGGTGAATTGAAAAAACCAGAAGCAATTCTCTATTACAATAGAAACAAAGCTGGGGTGGACTGCATGGATCAGATGATTTCCCATTTTACGTGCAAACGACCAACACGTCGTTGGACTCTCGCTTTTTTTTATAATATGCTTGATGTGATGGCATTGGCAACATTCGTTATATGTAAGGAAAACGACCGACTCAATAAAAGAGATGCGGGACGAGAGTTCCTTGAAAACTTATCAAACTTATTAGTTATGGGGAACATCGAAAATCGGATGAATAATGCGCACATTAGAAACAATTTTTCTACCCGTACTGCGTTTGAAGCTTTTTTTGGCAAACCTATAGCCGTAAGTATGCAGTTCAGTTGAAATCATATTTTCATATTTCGTTTTCATTTGAATTTCACATTCATTTTGAAGGCGCCGTTTTTTTCTTTTATCTATCTCGCATTTTATTTATTTTTTTATGTTTTATTATATTATTTCACATTCATGAAGTATATGCTGCCAAGGAAAGCGGCCCGACAACACTTGAAAGGAAAAAGCTTTGTAAAATCTGTTTACATGCCGAAAACAGAGAAAACTAAACGCAAAACTCGATTTTTCTGCGTAAAATGCCTCAATCCCGTTTGTCAACAACATTCTAAAGTTGATTATGTTTGTTTTCGATGCGCGCCAGAAAAATAATTATTGTTTTCCATTGAAATAAAATTAAAAAAATTACAAAAAAAAGCAACGATTTTTTTATATATTCTAGGATTTTTTTATTGAATTTTTTTTATTACAGTCAAGCTCAACATATGCAAAAGACGATAAGAAAAAGAAAAAATCAACACTATAAATATTTATTACCAATAATCGTTAATATATAAGACACCAAAAACTCATTTATCCCATATAAATGCATGTAAAATGAATGGTGGTCTAGCCAGACCTTTCCGACCGTTCGAAGGTGTAAAAATATCCGACCGACGGAGGGTTAATCATATCTTAAGTTGTTTTTTTATTTATTGGCTTTTGATATACATCATAAGGCCAGATGCCATTTTTACAATTGTTTACTACAAATTCTTATTGAATCATTAACTTATAAATAGTTAGTTTAGGTTTATGCTATAGTTCAACCCGTTTTATTTTTATATACAATATGAAAAAGCAGAAGCAATCACATGCAGCCTAAGGAGTACTTTCAAAATTTTGAATGTACATTTTGTCAAAAGATATTGCATGCTCCTTCCTTATTACAAAGGCACATCAAAACTTTTCATTCCTCCGTTCCTGATACACCTTCTACAGACCCCAAACTCCAATGCACGTATTTTAATAATTCCCGAATTATTCCAGAAACATCCCTTGCACTGCATTCTTATGCTCTACCCTCTTCATTAATTCCTTCCACTACTTCTTATTCATGTACCCTTACTGCTTCACAAACTTCTTACACAACTCTTCTTTCTTTGCCAAATCCTTCATCATTTCCTTCTTCATCAATACCAACGACATCCTCCCATTCATATGCTCTTCCTGCTTCACCAAATCCTTTGACATCCGCTAATTTCAATACTGTTTCCTTTATTCGACAACCATCTTCCCCACTACTTTCCCAATCATCCAGATCGCTCACATTCTTTCCAGTGACCCCAACGAGACCTAGACCCCAGGATAATGCTTCGATGCACTCAGAACATTTTACAGGTATTAAAATATAAGTATTATTTAAATATATTTAATATTACATCCACAAAGATACCATAATTGTTCATTTATAGGTTCTCCAAGGGTTCTCAGGATTACTTGCCCCATTGAGGATTGCGGGAATGCTTACACACGGTACAGCGCACTACAAAAACATATTGAGTGTCATCATCACATCAATATTAAACACGAAGACAAACTGTTCTCTTCGATTAATGGTTTGTCAACTTTTAATTATGGAGATTTTCAACAAACATTTCTATAATTTCATCTTTTGCTATAGATTTTTACAGATGGAAAACTGAGATGGAACAGAACAATATTACGTCATATGTGAAGAACACTGCAGCATACAGAACAAAAGACAATTGCTGCACCATTCAATATTATAATTGCCATCGATCACATAGTCACTAAACGAAGGAAACTTGTTCGAGGGGTAGCAAAAGAATTCGGCATGCTTGTTCCTCACCAATTATGTGCAAGGTGTATAATGACGGACATGTTGAAGCTGATTACTGAAAGACACATGTGGGACATGAAATTTTGATAAAATATGTGCGGCTGGATCAAAATTTGATCAGAAACATCAAAGGTATATTTAATTTATTTTCATAAATGCAATATTCACATTGTTGTTAATTCTTTGTCATTAGTAATATATTTTTCCAGATCAAATTAAAGCAGGCTTAGGTGATGACTTTATTATAAACAACATACGTGAAGCTTGTTATAATAAAAAATTACCACTGAGAGCTTCATAATGGAAAATATTGATAGACATAGAAAATTATAAATCAAGGACTATACATAGAATAGAGTAATTGCAAATAACAAAAGAAATATCAATTACAAGTGTATAATTGTATATTGCATATAATAAGAATGAAAACACATAGGCGGCAGATATTAAAAGAGTATTGAGCTTCATCAACCAACTACCATGGACTGCATATTTAAAAAAAACCTTTGAAGTGTTATATTCTATCTATCTACAGCTCCAATTTTGAGTGGTCTGAGTTTTCAATTAAACTGAGATAAACTGAAAAATCCTAACAATGAAAGAACAAATAACTGTATTTGATTATAAATGGATCATTATCCTGAAACAACATTTTGTTGAGAAAATAAATATTCTACTTTGGCATCACTATATATTCAAAAGAAGTAAAAACTTTAATATAATGTATTTCACTATCATTCACTATTATTCACTATTATTCACGGCGTATGTCACTTCGATGATGTTATAAGAAGTTTTTGCGACCCAAATCCAGTAAATGAAAACACATGAAGCGAAGTGACTGGCAACGATGGGATCCAATTCAAAGTCATCGGATATAGCTTTTACGCTCTCCGTGACTCTAGGCGGCCCGTAGTCATCTCTGCCGGTGCTCAAAGAGATACTCTTAGCCACCACTGAGGTTTGAACCAGCACACCTAGTTCTGCGTCGTGTTACATGAATACGTAAAATTTTATGCAATATATTATGTATATATAATTCACACACAAAACACAAAAGCCTCTACACAGGTTGGAAGGATAATTCACAAGAATCCACGTCGAGGACAAGAATAAGTGTCCTGAGTGAGTGCTAAATCTCACTCAGAGTAATAACTATTATTAAATGTTAGACAATAGTTTTTGTTGCATTTTCATGTTTTTGAATTAATTAAGTAAAAATCCGTGCATATCACTGTTCATTTGTGTATGCTGTAGAGTATTGTATAGTAATAACATTAATTTAGTATAGTTACAAATTTTTTAGTTAGCAGTCTCTGCTTATTGTTTATAAAAAACAGATTGCAGAATAAAATTAAATAAAAAATAAGAAAAAAAAAGTTTTTAATATTGATTATTAATTGTTTTATAAATGTAGCCCTGAAGACGAGTCAAACTAACATTGTATTGATCGAAACATATGCTATTGTAAGAAACATTCAGATATATTTTAAATACAGACAATATTTCCTAATAAAACCTGGTAAATATAAATTAGCTATTGATACTCCTCAACAAAGTTCGTTTTGTTTTGAGAAATTTTCGTATGAAGCTTTTTTGCTCCAAAACCGTAACTAGATATATGTAATTTGTTTACGTCAAAAGCCAAATCACATAAAATTGAAAGAGAAGTGGTGCACGTACATGTGGAACACATTCCCTTTTTCAAAATGTATAAATCGTATTGATATAAAAAATAAAATATTCGATCAGAGTATACATGGTTACAAGCAACTTCATAAAAAAGCATACATAGATAAAATATGAATCTAAAACTTGAGCATTATAAACATTGAAACGTATATGGAACTAAAAAATATAAATTAAGTATTTTCGTTTCTAATATAGAAATAGAAACCTTACCAATTACAAAATGCGCAGTCTCTTGTATGCTCGAAAACAAAATATTATGCGACCCTAAATATGTTTAGGTTTAATATAGTGGCAAAATAAAAAAATGAATGTAAAATTATAAAAAACGTATTTTATTACAGCGATATTATGTGCTATTAGTAACTATAATTGTATTATTAAATTGATTTTCATAATTTTACTTTTATTTTAAAGTTACCACATTGAAACATATGTATGTATTGTAGAAATGTATATGAGTGCCAAATCTAAGTAATAATAAAAAACAAAGAAAATGTTAAATCTTACAAGTCCATACTACAAGTTACATGTGCTGATCATTGAATATTTAAAATTAGTTAAATATAATTCATTGCATTAAGAATAAATTATTCTTCAAGAATTTCTTGATATTTGCAAATATCAATAGGAATTTTTAATGTCGATTTTGAGTGCAAATCGATTTTATTCTATGTTAGTTTTTCCTTATATAATACTCAAGCTACATGACATATTTCAATTTTCTTCTAAATAAATTTAACAAATTTGGTTATATATATTATACACATAAATAACTTGGTAAAGATTGGGAAGAAGTTTTACCAGAATTCAGTTAAGTCAGGCGAAGGTCCAAAGATCTTACAATCACAATTGAACTGGACAAATCAATCTTCACGACTTTGAATAATTTATATAAGTGTTGAAATATCTTCGTTTGCCTATAAGTTATAGCATTTGATCCATGGTTAAGAAGTCCGTACAAATTAAAACTATCTTCCTGATTGATTATGTATTTATTTATTTATTCATAAGCAAGCCGTAATCAATAATAATAGATATTATTTCAGGCTCTTGTCAAGAGTGCATGGTGATGAAAGACTTTGATCAAACACTATTTATATTATTGTGATGTCACCTTTTCCAAATATCTTAAAATTATTAAATGTCAAAATTCCTTAACATTTTATTCAACAGATGGTATTGATTAACGAAGAAAAATAATCTAGTAGCGAAATAGATCCAACAAATAAAAAAGAACTGATGAATTATGAAGTATTCATACTTTGCATCCCCCTCAAATTTGATATCTAGCTACTGAGATAAATCCAGGGCGGTTTTTTTTATTTGGTCGAAAACTACTTTGAGTAGTTCACAATCATAAAGATAAAGACACGAATGTCTTTGACTGGATTGGAACTAACAAAAGAGATGTTTCAAATAGTTTGGCTTAGCCATCAAATCATTGGCATCACAATAATGATTATAAATCAAATTTGCCTTTTCATTGTCATGTGTGACTTTTCAACAAACAGACCAAGAAAATTGTAAAGATCTTCGGCAATAAAGTCCTGATGACATCTTATTTGATTTATAAATCATAATTACTGGAGACTATCAAAATCAAAATTGTACATAAAATACCGTGTATTATACACTAAATCCTCGTGTTATGCATTTGTCTCAAAGTTAATTCCTTCCATGACATGTTTTATGCTCATGTTATTTCACGTAGGAGCAAAACTATGCTTTCTTCAAATATTCATAACGTCTGTCTTATTGAAATAAATGAGTCATTATAGTAAATATTAATCATATTGCTTACTATTTTGTTTCACTACCAGAAATTCTTAATTGCCTTGGTTCCATTAGAATCGCAAATTAGTATTATATCAACATTCGTTAATAATTTTTGAACCTCAATAAGAGTACTTTTACTTCAATTCAAAAGTCATTATCTTTTGTTTCATTTGCATAATAATTTTTCATT